ATTTTTTTATATTTTCAATAATTACTAATATTATTGAATATTATTTAGTAAATGTCAACACCTAAACTATAATTTTTTGTAATATTGGTAAATTGGAAAATTTAATTACTAGAAAGCTACATGCTAAAAATTACTAATTTTGGTAATTTAATTTTATATATTTTTTCTAAATTAATTATTGAAATCAATAATTAACAAAATCGATAATTAATTAAAATACTAATAAATACAAATTTATTAAATATAAATTATTGGTAATTTTTCATTGAACTTTTTATTTTAATAAATATAAATTTATTTTTTACGTTTTCAATAATTTTGATGTTATCAGTAATTTTTTAGCAATAAGTAGTCATTGATATTTTCAGTAATCTTGGTCAATTTATTAATATTTAATGATATTATCAGATAATAATTAAAATTTTTTAGTAATTTATTTTTTAATATAAAACTAATTTCAATAAATATAAATCTACATTTTTATATTTCAGTAATTTTGATATTACTATAATTTTTGAGAAATAATTAGAAATTTTGGTAATTTAATTTAGTGAAAGTTAAATTATAAAGCTTCCAATTATTCAAATAAATAATTGGAAAATTTTAATAATTTCCACAAGTATTTAGATACTACATTTATAATTACCATAATTACTAGAACTATATTTATGGGTTTGGGGATGTTATGGGTGAGTCTGGATCTCCTGCCCATGTGAACTCTGCCCACATTTATCGCAGCCATACATGGAGAACATCTCATCCTCTGCAATAGTATATGCATGAGGAGATGTTCCCAATTCACGAGAGGTAGTGTATTGTGGGTAGGTGTGGGCAAAGTTCACGTGGGCAAGAGATCCGGTTCTGTTATGAGTTTATGGGATGACCCCCCAAGTAGGAATGGCAATGGGTGGGTTCAGAGTAGGGTCATACTCTCCATCCCAATCTCAAGTTTTAAATTAATTCCCGTCTCTGACCCCAATCCCCATTGGGAAAATTATTTATTTAAAATGCAAATAAAGGAAAATTAAAATAATATTTATTTAAAATAAAGTAAAATTAAAATGCAAATAATATTTTAAATATATTTTAATATATATAATATAAATAATATAATATATTTAATATATAAAATTAGGGTCAAGGCAAGGTGTGGACTTCACTCATCGTCCCCAATCGGGTATTCCTATTAATCCCATCCCCACCCTCACCTGGTTGGGGAGGCCAGATACTCGACGGATATAGAGAAAATTGTAATCCCTACCCTCGGATTATGTAGCCCCATAGAGCAATAAGTTTTAATTAGAGGTGTAAACCCGACCCGAATTTGGATCGGCACAATACGACGGCACACAGGCCATGCCAGGCCCGACACGATGGTCTAAGTCATGCTCAGCCTGGGGTTCCAGGTCTATAGGCCAGCACGGCATGGCATGTGGCCCGTCTCAAGGGCCTGTGGCTATAAACAGCTTTTTGGGGGGTCCGTTGGCCCCTAACGGCTAGTTTCAGCTTTTTTGGGGGTCTTTTGCATAAATACCCCCTAACAGCTATAAACAGCTATATGGGGGGGTATATATGTATTTTGGTTTTGGGGGGAGAAAGAATGACACAAATGCCTCCAACAACTATATAATAGTTAGTTTAGGACGCATTTTGGGTAAAGTAATAAATAACTTTACAATTACCAAAATACCCCTTCCAACAACTAAAAAATGACTAGTTTTTAGGGTATTTTGGGCAATTAAATCATTTTCAATTCTTATAAATAGCCATATCCTCCACCATTCTCATCACACCGATTCAACAATTCTCTTAATCTCTTCTCTTATTCTCATACTTTCTCAAGTCTCAATCTATCAAACTCTCATACATTCTCTGATTCACCAATTCTCAACTTTATTGAAGTTTCAACAAGAAGAAGGCTTGCTCAATAGTTCAAATATCTCAAGTTAGCAATCTGTGAGGCTTGGACTCTTGGACTTAAAAGGCTTCAACCATTGAAATCAAGGGGATTCCAAACCAGCAATCTAAGTAAGTGCAATTAAATTAATTTTTTTTATATAATTAAAAAAAATGATTGGCTCCTCCCAAAACCAATTCCCCAGCATGTTCAATGTCGACGATATTCAATCGCAGCATGGTAGTATTAGCACCAATGTGGGTGCTATTGACATTGATAGAACTTCCATCCCTAATACTGATACTAGGGGAAAGAAAAAGAAGGCCACTAAATTGATTAGCCCTGTTTGGAAAATATTTAAAGTAGAGGAGGTTTGGGGAAAGGGAAAAAGAGTTATTTGCCAAAAATGTAGGAAAGACTTTAGCTATTGTAGCAAGGGTGGTACTGGCCATTTGGGCAGACATTTATTCACCCATGAGAAAGAAGAAAAAGAAGAAGAAGGGAGAGAAATAACACAAACATAAATTGGGCAAGGGGTTTTGTTAGTTGGAGATACTAAATTCAAAAATTGGTTATGTAATTCTTTAAATCCACAATTTAAAAAAGTTTCTAGGAATATTATTAGATTAGATGCTTTAAAAATTTTTTATTTATACAAAAAAAAATTAATTTATATGTTATTAAATCTTAATTCTAAAGTTGCAATTACTTCTAATATTTGGACTTCTAAATTTAACATAAGTTATATTTGTGTTGCTGGTCATTTTTTGATGAAAATTGGCTTTTAAATAAAAAAATATTAAGTTTTACTATGCTTGAATGGCCCATACTGGCCTAGCTATTGATGCAAGTATTTTAAATAATTTACATGCTTATGGAATTGACAATAAATTATTTTCTATTAGTTTTGATAATGCTAATAATAATGGTTCAACAAAAAATATTTTAAAATCTTAATTAAAACCATGCTTAAATTGTAAATTATTTCATATTAGATGTGCATGTCACATCTTAAATTTATGTATTCAGGATACTTCAAACATTATTTCTACTCATTCCTAAAATTAGAAATTGTATTATATATATTAAAAGTTCTGGAGCAAGAAAACAAGAATTTAAATATTTATGTCAAAATTATGGTTTAAAATATAAACATTTTATATTAGATGTTAAACATAGATRDAATTYTACHTAYGCTATRTTAGARAGTTGTATTTCTCACAAACAAATTCTTAGTGATTTTTATAATGCAAAAATGCCTGGTGATACTATATTTGAGGAAGAATGGGAAATGACAATTTCTATAAGAGATTATTTAAAACATTTTTATGATGCAACTAATGAATTATCGGGTATTTATTATCCAACTAATTGTAATTTAGCTTATCAATTAATGATGATTAGTGATTGTTTTGCAAAATATAGAAAGAACCCACAATTTAAAAGTATTGTTGAAATAATGGAAAATAAATTTAAAAAATATTGAGAGAACATTTCTCATCTTTATTGCTTAGCTACAATATTAGATCCTAGGATTAGGAAAGATGGTTTAGATATTTTACTTGAAACATATTGTGGAAATATGAATATTGAAATTGAAAATTAAAAAGAAGAAATTAATAGTTTATTATTTAAAATGTATAGTTTATATGAATCTGAATTAACAAGGAATAATAAAAATTCTACAACTTGTACAACTGCATCTTCCACTTCTGAACTTGAGTCTAGTAGTGGAAGAGAAAAATCTTTTTTTTTTTATTTAATAAGTAAGAGGTAGAAATCCACTACCTCGAGAACAAGTTCATTTACTAAAGTTAATTTTTATTTACAAGCATTTTTTTCCTACTTTAGGTGATTCTTCCTTCACCTCGGAGGGAACAAATAATTTTGATATTCTAACCTGGTGGAGTGAACATGCAAAAAATTATCTAATTCTCTCCGCCATGGCACATGATCTATTAACCCCTCCAATGTCTATAGTTCCATTGGAGTTTTGTTTTAGTGCATGTATTACGGTGTTAGACGACAATAAAAGTTGTATGAATGATGAAAGTCTAGAGATGTGCATCCTTTAAAGATTGACTGGATGTTGAAGATAGATTACAAGACAAATGAGGGCATGACACTACACTTGATGTTTCACTTGAAGCAAATGATCAAAGTTAAGAACAATAGAAGAAATTGATGAAGTCAATATTTTTTGCATATTCAATAGTTGTATAACATTTTTTCAAATTATTGTAAATTTTGTTTTAATTTTATTTAATTTATTTGATATTTAAGTGAATTTAATTTATTTAATTCTATTCTTCCAATTTTCATATTTCATTCATCCAACCATCGTATGCCTTGTATCATTCAAATTTAAGTGAAATAAAATTCCTATTTTTGTTTCAATTTGTTATTCAGTTTGAGTCTTTGTCTCTTTGACTTCTTATTTAGTTAAGTATTTTTTTTATTTCTTAGATTTTTTATTTTTTTCAAATAATTCTCAAAGGAAAGTTAAAAATTTTAATTTTACTTGGCAAAAAAATGAAAAAATCAAAAATGTCAAAAAACAAAAAAAAAAAGTCTGGCTCGACCTATGGCCCAACACGACACGACCTACAGCCCGCACAACCCCATACGGGCTTGGGCCGTGGACCATGCTAGGCTAACCCCCCAAATTATCCCTTGGGAGGGCAGCACGGCCCAAGATGGCCTGCGGGCCAACACGGTATGGCCCGTTTTATACCTCTAAGTTTTAAGCCCAATAAAACCTAACATTTTTTTCCCATGCATTGCATGGGGGCCCACTAGTTAATTATATAAAGAATACCATAATCGGTCTGCCATAGCTGTTTTTGGATAAAACACAAAAACCTCCCCTGAAGTTTCTTACAATCATAAAAATCTCCCCTATAGTTTTATTATAACAAATACCTCCCCTGAATTTTTGAGAAATTCAATGACCCAGATGGAAAAAAGTTAGAATGATGCATCAATTTTTTTCCAAATATCGATTTTACCCTTTTATGAATTATTTTTACATACAAATCGGTGTCTTCTTATTAGGATCCTCTGCAACTCCTCCAAGAAGCCGACGTCCATAAACAGCTCTCTCTCGATGGAAACACAAAACCATTCAATTTATCTGGTCTCGATAAGTTACAATAATAATAATAATTGGAAGGCATGTTACCTTCAGTTTCAAAGAGACTACCCAAATCATATTTGCTAAAATCTAAGCAATAAATTGAACATTAACTAAGCAGCAACCACAGTTTCAAGCAACAACTCCAGGTCGCTCAACCTGCAAAAACAGGACCCATAAACATGAATGTCAAATTAACGACAAAATTCCAGTATCAACCATGATGACATGGAATCTTTTTTTTTTTTTTTTGATAATTATGATGACATGGAATCATTACCTACCTCACATTACTTAAATCAGGATAAATTGCAATTGCATCCTTGAAATCCTACATTAGTCAAATATCAACTCATCTCAATACGATTCTCAGGTTCAATAGTATGAGAAAAATTCAATTATCATTTATCCTTCTTTTATTTAAAACTATTGGTGAATGCAACAGATTTACCTGGTTAGCTGTGGACGATGTGTAAGTTATTAAACATGACATTCCTGCTCTTGTTGCGGCCTAAAAAAGTAACAAACTTCCACTTAGCCTCGGTTCTCAACCAGGGGTTTCAACGTGCAATGACAAAAGCCAGAACTTATGACAATGACTCAAAAACTGGTACTGAATTGATGAAATTACTGTCAAGCCTAATTAAAATTTACTCAGTCGAGTTGCCCATCCAAGCAACTCTTAACAGTAGTGTATCATCAATCCTTCCAAAGTTTTAATCAGCAACGTTTCAAATGATCATTATGAAGTATGAGATCTACCTGAAGTCCAATGATGCTATCCTCCACCACCAAACAATTTTTTCCTAACACACCTAGCCTCTGCATGGTATAATGTTTTACAGGTATATCACTACAAGTAACCAAGTAAATAGCAAAAGATCATCTGTATGAGAACAAAAGATGGATGATAAATTGAAGATACATTACCTTAGAAGCTGTTAAATAAATTGATGGATCAGGCTTCTTTTCCTTCACGTCATCACCTGCAAATATAGAAAAATGTTGCTTGTTTATCAAAAGGATATTATAGACACCATAGTACCAATAGGATTTCATGCAATTTGTTTCTACATGAATGCAAATTTCCATAATGGGGAAAAGGGTCAAATAGCACATGCTAAACAAATCCACCAAGAACTGATTTGTTGTCATTGTTCAGTACCCATGAAATTCAAGATGAAAATATGGTCAATGCTTGTCGCAGTTAAAATCTTGAAACAAACAGTGACAGCTATTTACAGTTGTCCATAGACCCAATGTTGCTTGACCCATGGAGACTCAGGATAACCCTAAACCTTTCTAGTTTTCTTCTTCTGAAAGACAACTTCATATTTTAGGCCCTGTAAAACAGTCAATAAGGTTATTGATGAAATTAATCCCAAATCATTCTTTGACTATGTAATAATTACAGACAAGTTTTTGGTTGAGGTAATCTATCAAAGGATCATGTATTATTCCTTGTTAAGACCAAAAGTGGAAATCATGTACTATGTGGCAACACATGACAGGAGGATATAAATGATCCACAGACCTCTTGCCTGTATCCCTTGAAAGCCTGCTAGTTGGTAGGTTGTGTTTTGTCATTGTCTTTGTTGAATTTGCAACAGCGAGTAAATCGATGGAAAATGAAGTCAAACTACTCTGGAGGGACTTTGTAGCATGGTCTTTGGAACAGTCAAAGACCTATCCAACAATGAGGTTCTTTTTAACAATAAGGATCAAACTTCTCATGTTCTGGTTCAACATTACATGCTAAATTTTTTTCTTCCTGTTCATCTATTATTTGGTTAGATTCACTTGAGCATAAGCAGGTTTCTTCATACACTCATAAGCCCCGCTCATTTGAATAGGTTCATCACTTTTCTTAAGGGTGAAGCTCATTCTTTTTGCATATTTTGGTGTCAGTGAATAGGTTTTCCAGTTAAATATCCAATGAGTCCAAGGTCACACAAAACCAACGCAAGCTGTGCAAGTTACAACTGTTTTATTCACAAGGTAGCAGTTAACGATTGGATTTGGCTTGTAGAAACTTGTGTTCATGAAGATCTCGTTCTCCTTATCCCTCTCTTTTGTGATGGATACCATTTTTTCTTGTTGAAATTGAAACAACCCTTTCATCCTCAGTACTCTCTTTTTTCATAACTCTTGAATGCTGAAATCTAAGTTTTCCCCAGATTTAAGCACCAAACCTTCCTCAAGTGAATCAATAGGTGCATTATCAGCTTACCATGTAGTTTTTATTTCAACACAGCAAATACACTTGGTTACCAGTAGACTCACTTTCACTTAAATCAATGACTAATAGTTTGCACAACTGTTTAGTGAAACCTTCCACCCTTTGATCATTCTTCTACCATTAACTGATGAGAGTTTTAGCAGACACTTTGAGAGTATTCCAATGGTAAGAACTTGTTGTCAAGCTTTGCCTTCATCTTTTCCCAAGTTCAGCTTTTTTTTCAAGGCATCATCTTTCTCTAGTTCTTTGAATTTTTGCCACAACAAAAGATGCTCCCAACAAAACATAGGTTTTTTTCAAGGCATCCTTTCACAAGTATAGATTGAAAGAATGCTTCCAACATATCACTTTAATAATAAAAATCCATTAAATCAAGCTTCCGTCAAGATCTGAGACTAAAACTAAGCTTCAACCTGTAATTTTTATTGCATCTGCTAACAAATTTATATAGAAGTTCACTCTTTAGTGCTGTCATGCTGTTCGAATTTAAATCAGAATCATGTCAGTTAGTGTCATTTGAAAACCTAACCCTGTTTGAGAAGAGGAATGGATGCTGAAAACATTCTTTTCATAGTTTCTTCTATTGCAAAAGATCTAGAATAAATTCTCTTGTTTTCACCTTTGCTTCTTTTATCTGGCAAGCATCTTGTTCACAAAACAAGAGAACTTATTCTAGATGAAGGTAAATAACAGACAACAAGGGAAACCCACGTTACCACCAATTGATGCAGGAGAAAGGCTTTTGAAATGAATATAAGAACTGGACTGGGTTCTGACTTCTGATAAGATTCTAAAGTACAGAAAGGTTTATGTGAAATGAAGGGTCAGAAAGATTTATTGTACTGTTACAGAGCAACACATTTTGGTTGACAACCAAGTAACAAAATCACCCCCAAAGAAAAGGTGCAGTTGCATCCAAGTCTCTAAGATGAAGGACTCTGAAAACATCAACCAAGGAAAGGTAAAATTGCTTGACTTATTTAATAAGAAATGCCCAACATAACCAAACCTTGTGCTTGATATTTTTTTTTCAGAAATCACTCAAAACAAAATCTTAGAAACTCCAAATGAAACAAAAACGACAAAATAGCAAAAAAACAATTTTGCCTAAACAAGGTTACATGTAAATGACTTTAATTCAACATAGGGACTCTACTATTCCAATTATCACAATACACAACAATAACCTCATTGATTTCCAGCATAAAGCCACATGAAATAGCATATAACTCCATTTAATTTTTCACAGCATTTTATTTCTCAATGCTATGATCTAACATGGTATGGTTGCTGGTCATTGAGAGAGAAAAAAACAGATATGAATTAATTAAAAAATCTAAATTTTCTATTTTTTTTAACAACTAGAAATAGTTTCATTTGTGCTCTCAGATGCAATGAAATACAACAAAGAAGTTATTTCAATTCGCACAGCAACCTAGTCTCAAAAATAAAAAGACTTGCCCTGGGGAACAGCATAGACCATGGGAGCTCCAACATGAAAAAGAAACATGCACAAACACTAGTTTCAAGGGCCCACTAACAGGAGAAATTAACTCCCAATTTGTCCACCTAGTTCTGTTGATCCAACATGGAATTGAAAACTGATAAATTGACAGGTAGAAAAGAGCATGAGATAGCTATTATAATGACAAAGCTTGCTTAACTAACTTCTATATATCTCAATTGAGGAAAGCTTCATCTACCTAAACCAAGTCAAATATCAAAGAAGATCACTTCCAGGAAATAAACAGATCGCTAATCAGTAAATGAGCAAATGCCATCAAAATTCAAACATGTTAACAATATGTTATTTTTGCAATCATATGAAAAAATTCATCAAAATGCATCCCCCCTCTCTATCATGAAAGGTGGGTTCCTTCCAACCATGTTATCAAAAGAAAAACATACATTGTGCTGCCTCAAAATCTTAGGCAATATGCTAGATTGTCAAATGGCATGAATTGGAATAAGCATTCTCTGATGGAGAAAACACTAGTACAAATATATAGGTTTAATAAACCATTTCCAATTCATGAATTCTCTACTTTTGCCTAGACATAAAGTCATCAAGTACGAGTAATATTAATTTACTAAGAAGCACCTATATTAGCAAGGCATTCATTACAGAATAAATTTACAAAACAATTTCCACATAAAAGCATTAGTCTCATTTTTTTGACATACTTTTTCATCATATCTTGTTCAAAATCAGAGATCAAGAATCTCAACATATTTAAGAAGCAGAATTCCTATAAAGAGTAGCCACAACGATAGCCAAAGATCAATCACATAATCTTAATTTTCCCTTTTTGTTTTGGAAAATGCTTCCATCATATCAGGCTCAAGTTTATATATCAAGATTAAAGAATCCCAACATATTGATAAAGCAGTGTAAGTATCAAAAGCATCCAGAATGATAGTCAAGATTAGTATCAATTAAAAAAAAGAAAATGAGGCAAGAATAAACTGTGGTTCCCCTTTTTCTTTGACATAGTGTTCCCATCATCTTAGGATCATGCTTAGTGATAAAGGGTCCAAAATTACTTGGTTAACAATGTTCCCATCAACAGTAGCAACAACATTTTCCAAGCTATCAGATTTTAAATGTATAGTAGAAACTTTCACCTGCAAGAAAGCAATCGAGACCTTGAAAACGCTCCTACAACAAGCACACAATTATAAATAATAAATCCTACAAGTCAAAGTTGTACACAAGTAAAACCATATGATAGACTCACAAATGTTAAAGTATCATACTGTTAGAGTAAAAGGACTCACAATTCCAATAAGGTTTTCAAGACAGAGAATAACTGAACCTTTGGTTGCTGCAGAGCAAACAGCTAGTTTAATTCCCTACACAAGAGGGAAAATTAATTATTTAAAATTGTTGGGTAAGCTATTGTAAACTTCTTGTTTTAGGGGAAGTTGATCAAATCAGTACAATATGATGGGAAAGAGCCAATGAAACATATAATCTGTACACAGAGAAGACTGCATATGTAAGGAATGCATGAAAAATCAAAATGTATTAGTAGGACTTAAGTAGCAGATTGATATATAAGAGAGAAATACAGAAAATAAAAGGAGTTAATGTTCCAAGGTGGAGTTATTGTAATTTAAGTTATCTAGTTAATCTTACAGCAGCCTTGGCTTCAATACAGAAAATAAAAGGGGTTAATGTTCCAAGGTGGAGTTATTGTAATTTAAGTTATCTAGTTAATCTTACAGCAGCCTTGGCTTCATCCATCAGTCTTATGACTCCGGGTCTGGGTTTTACCTGCACATAAAAGTATCAACTGCATTCTTTACAATGACAAGTAAATTTACAGATACACTAACTGATCAACATAGAATAGAATAGGTAATTTTATCCTTACAGATCCAGATCTGATTATTTCCTTGTACCTTTCAGTTTTCCAGTCCTACGAAAGTGTAAAACATTGTCAGAATGCAAGTAGAGTGTATACATTTCTATGACTGCATACATACGTAAGGATATAGATATGTATGGGAATAAGCCACATGCTTATTATGCAGAACAGAGAAACTGGAAAAGCAAATTAAGAAGCAACTAAGAAACTAAAACACATATGACTGCTTATTAAGAAGTCACATGCTTATTATCCAGACTGAATATGATAAGTTTATTTCGTAATCAAAGAGAACTAATTTAGCAATGTTGTTATTGAAAAAAAAAAAAAACTTATGGGTTGATGAGCTTGCATTCTGAAATGTTGCTTTCCTTCAAACAGATATAATATGCAATGTTAGTCTCCTGGGGTTCCAATTGCAAATAATGTTAACAGGTGGCTTCATAAGATACAACTATTAAGTCTTACTAATAACAAGGAGATTTCAATAAGAACAAAAACGAATAACTCAAATTGATCAACAGGATATCAGCAGACATACCTGAAAGGTGTCAATTAGCTTCTCTCTGGCATTATCGTCTTCCGGAGGGGTTTCAGAGATTGATGAAGATGGCCATCCATTCTCCTTAAAATACCTGATAATCAACAAGACATCAATCAACAAAAACGGCACAAAAGAAATTAAAAACTTTGAAGGCCAAAACTACATTCAAGAAAAAAAAAAGAAAGAAAGAAAAACGAATGAAAGAATTACAAACCATCTCATTTTAGGTTTTCCCCCACCAATCCGATTTTGGAGTTCGTCGTAAAATGCAGAGTCCCAGTAAAGAGGCTGTGGAGACGAAGATGGACAACGAACATCGAAATGAGCAAAAGCATCGTTATAGGCTTGTCTATGCAAATGCTCGGACTCGAGGATCACGCCGTCACAGTCGAAGATGAGAGCTTGAAGGGCGGACGAAGCCGATATGGAGAGCGGTTTCTTCAAAGATCTTCTGCTGCGAAACGTAGAAGAGCGAAGCCTACGAGAAAGCAAGATAGAACTGGGGAATATTAAGATGGAGGTAGAGGTGGATGGAGTGAAATCGGCGAGGAAAGGGGATGTGAAACGGCGAGAACTGGAGGAACCGGGAGGGAGGAGTTGAGACAGCATCGAAGACGATGACGACGCCATCTCTCTAAGCTGTATTGGATTCACTGAACTCTCGCGAGACAGACACCGAGGGAGTGTGAGCTCCGAAGTTAGGATGAAAATCTGGCGGGTAGCTCGTGTGGCTACCGATGTTTTGCATTAATAACGGAACTGTAGAGCTATAAACATTCAAAGCGTCAAAAAACCTCACACTATACACCAATGTCCGAAAACCTCCCCTCCACACACCAATGCCCACTTTGGCATCAATTCCAAACTGCAACTGTATTTTGAGCCTAAAAATTCAGACCGTGGGCTGAACCGTCTCCCTAATTTTAATGGCTATTCTATGGATTATAAACCTACCGTTATTAACCGTTAAAGCCGTTAAAAACAAGCGCGGAAAGACATATTTGTGCCCGTCTTAGGAGGGCTTGAGCTTTCAGGCAGCGGCTACTGGCTTTCTACATGGAAAGCCTATAAATTATGTTTGGTAAAAGCCCCGCAAAGCCAGCATACGCCCTAATTCGGGCTTCTGATGTTTCGAGCTGGGCCCCACATAAATTTGTTAGAAGTTGTATTTATTTGGTAAAACTTTGAAAAGCCCAAATCATTTCCAATCTATCAAAAAAAGCCCAATGGTCTGATGGCCCATTGAGCGAATAAAATAGGGAGAAGTACCAATCAGCCCAGCTCAGAATTTATTAGCCACAAAGTACAGGGAGAATGCATCCTGACCGTGAATTGATGCCAAATTCACGGACAGGATGTGGTTTATAGGGGGGAGAGGGCTAGTTGTAGGGAGTGGCTGGAATTCAGAATTCTGCATCGTGTGTATTCCTACTTTTCTCAATAAAATATGGAGCTATTTCAAATTTCAACCTCTGGGTAATTTATAGGCCTGATCATGGGCCGGGCTGGGCTTAGCATCAATGTTACAGGCCTCAGCCTAGGCCTTAGCCCGGCACTCGGGCCTAATTTTCAAGCCCAGGCCCGGGCCCTATTGGGCCTAGGCCGAGGTTCTGGGCCTAATGGAATTGGAATTGAGACTTTTTTTCACTAATCTCAGATTCTCGAATGTGGTTATAATCTATTTTCTCTTTTTATTCAAGATAAATAAAAAATAATAATTTATGAACTGAACAGAATAAAGAGGAAACAACTGGGTTGGGTGATAACTGATATGAAATCAATCAATCGCCCAACACACAAGAAAGACATTCAAATTGAGATCCCCACCCCAAAACAGAACTAATTAACAGTTTAACAAAAACCTCTACTCAACACAGGAAAGACACTCAAATGATGTCTAAACTTTGAAGTCTGAACATTTGAACAATGGTAGAAATTGGAGAAGTCTGATTTTTCTCATAGTCTTAATGTTTTACAGATATTCAATCATGGATACAGAAACCATTTTGAAAAATGCATTCAACATGGAGAGGTGTTGAATATTGGCTGCATGGATAACCAAAAATTCTATCATTGAACGCCCTGATTTTTATTTCTAATTTTATCCCTATTAATAATATAAAACAGCCAAACTAACACCGTGATTTTTATTTCTAATTTTATCCCTATTAATAATACAAAAAACCAAATTAAAATATACCCCATTATTTTAAAAAAATTTAAAAATAAAATGATCAATGGCTCTTCGTTGAACAGCCAAACTAACAGATACCCCATTATATCTATTAACCATTATTAAATATTTAAATAAAAAAATTAAAAATGAAAATGATCAATTCTCTTGGTAGAACACCCTGATTTTTATTTATAAATCTACCCTATTAATAATACAACTTTGAATGGATTGATAGCCAATCTAGCAAATTCATAGATTTCTATTTTACCCTTATATACAAGAGATAATTACCCTAAAAACATGAATATGTGGACATCCAAATTCTCTACGTAATGGTTATCCTATTAAAATAGTCATGATGCTGGTTAAATTTTTATCAACCCTGATTTTTATTTCCAATCAATGGCTCTTCATTGAACAGCCAAACTAACATAATGTTGTATAATTGGGGCTTGACCTACCTAGATTGAACTTAAAACTGGACCCAGCCTTCTCGACTTGCATCCTTAAGATGGAAAGAGAGAATAAGACATAAGACAGACTTGACAAGTCCACACAAGACTAATATCTTCAAGAAATGACACCTCTGTCCTTGGTTAAACCAGATATGACGGAAATGACACGTCTGTCCGTGGTTAAAGCAGACGTCGTAGCTGAGTAGACTCCAAGATCACATTCCAATTTTCAAATATCCTGTTCCTGTCGTTCCCACCGGAAAAAGTATTTCTATCATTCAGGACTAGTGTTTGGGTGTGACTCCGATCCGGCCCAATGTAAGGCTGGATCTATCTCTTTTTATATTTAAAATGCCTGATTTTAACAAGAAAAATGAGATAAGTCCTTTTAAAATAAGGAACGCCRAATGCAGTCTAGGTGGATTTTGTTTTCCACCGGAAAAAGTATTGTGGATTGGATTTTTTACAGACCGGCCGGAGGGTCTACGTATGTTATGGACCGACTAATGCGAGTTCCTGGCCACGCTGCATATATCTGATTCTCATGTCTTACAACTAAGGACTGGATCAACATGTCAGAGCATCCTGATAATTCCTGACCAAAAAGGATTGAGCCACGGTGGTCCAGCTGACCCAGCGGTTGAAGGAAAAGTCCGGGCCTCAGCGAGCTGGTTTAAGATGCATGTATTCAGATTTCAGTCGTTATGAGTTGTGACAATATAGTATATGTTTGGCTGCTGTATATGTCTGGGTTGGAAGCGTTGTAGGACGTTTCCTGAGACACTAACAACCCCTTCTGTTTGTTTTGTTACGAGTGTTTTATGTCTGTTTTCAGTATTGGTATCCATTATAAAAAGTTTACATCATGTTCTTGTTGGCAGTAGTGAATTCTAAATTGAAAAAATGTTGAATTCAGCATTTCTCCAGGCCATGCCTTCTTGATTTTTAAGGTATGGTTTGGAGTACCATTTTTTATGGAAAAACGATTTTAAATATGTTACCGTTTTTTAGAGCACCGATTTTTCCATCGTGGCATTGATGTATCACCGTTTTCTAGAGCAACAACATTGATGCCAAAACACCATTTATGTCATGCGTGTCGTGGCTCATGATCCTGATCGGGATGCATGAGTGCCACCACATACATACATATATCTACCTATGTACTTTTTCAACCTCCACTCTGCTGGTTGCTACTTCCCTCTCACAGAGGGGGAGTTCTTTTTCTGGATTTTGTTAGGGGGGAAACCAAGAATCCTATTTTTTATTTTTTTAGATTTATGTGAAGACTAGGAAAAGTTTATTTTCCTAAGTATCACTTACCCCATCTCCTAGGTGGATAAATAACTTTCCGACCTGGGGAAGTTGTCAACACTTGAATGGGACAAAAATGTTCCTTTTAATAATGAATTTTTACGACTAAAATAATCATTGACTCTTTGCCTTATTTACATGAGAAATAAAAGAATATGGATAAATATATTTATACAAATAAGCCTTTTCTAAAAAGACACTTGCCCACGTAAGTTAATGAAAAGCAAACGGGGCCAGAGTAGTCACAACTCACAATCCTTTATAAACTATTGATTTTGAGATGGAAATAGCCTAACTATTTTGTAACAGAATCAAGTGAATCTCTAAGCAAGCAAATGTTAAAGAATACTGGCCATTTCAAGTTTTCAAGCTCCCTTCACATCAGATCATCATAGGATGTATATACTCTATAGCGTGTGGAGAGAGAGAAAGAGGGGAAGGGTGGCAGGGTGCTATCGTCAATCGCAAAACAAGTAAAAGCAGAGGAAGAAAACCCATCTTAATTAAGCAGCCATGATTAAATGAGACACAGTACGCCTGTTACAGCTTCTATACAGTATAAGAAGATACAGTAAATTCCCATCGAATTAATGTGCCGTGCCACTAAAAATAAATTCCTAAGGGAGGCAGGGGCCCTGTTCAACAAGTTAATAGTAAAGCAAAAGTAAGACACAACTGTCAACAATGATAAAAGAAACCCATTTTGAGGAACATTACATGACCATCACAAATTACAAGTTTATGCATGTCTCCTCTGCAAGTCTAAGATGAAACCCATCTCCATTTTCAGGCTCAGGCTCAATATGACCCTCGAATCCACTCTTCTAAGGGTTGAATAGTCGACTGCCGCATCGGCACTTCCAACACAACGGCTTGTAATTGGCGAACTTTCTGCCCCCCGCCGATGGCGACGACTCCAAGTAGCCCATAGGATTCGTTCTCCCAAAACTGGGTGGGTATCGGTTGCGTTCCGGGAGAGTTGGCACCTGAACCGCTATGCAAGGGTGGCACTCGTTGCACTTGTTATGGCAAGTTGGAGGGGTCGAACCCAGCCTCGTTTTCTCTTCCGTTATCAAACCCTACACAGTAAGTACACACAAGCAAGAAGCAACTCCATTAAATAAACATATCACTTATGATGGAAGGTTAGAAGCTGGAATTAATTCAGGAAGATGAGAACCGACCCACACCCAGAATAACAAATCAGAAGATACTCAAGTCGGTTCTATACTCTTACTTTTACCTCAAGAGAGACAGAAGGGGGCCGCTGGGGATCTACACAAGAAGCTGGAGAATTGAGAAGATGGAGAACTGTAAGGATTACTGTAGTTCTGTAGAGGAGGTTTGATGAGTTCACAGTAAAACTCATGGTCATGGAACCATCTCATCTCATCTCACCCTTGAAAATTAACCAAAGATCATTAACAGACAGCAGGAACCAAAATTAACCAAAGATCATAACAGAGAGCAGGAACCAAAGAACAATATTTTTTTTTTTGTTGGTTATTTGAGAGAGAGAGAGAGATTTGGTGGAAGCTACATTTAATTGTGATGAATTACGAAAGGCAGAGAAGGGTAGCATAAATTGATCATAAGTCTGAGCTGATGAGAAGAGAATCAGTGAAAAGAACAGGGCATGCAGAGGAAAACAAATGAGCAGAATCCACCTTAGATAATAGATAGCGGCAAAGAGCAGAACACGGGCTTGTCATTTTTAATATTTCTTCTCTTTCCCTCTTGAGGCAGGCTCAGGCTGGTTATCAGAAGCTGTATGGAAAACGAGAGGCTTATGGGGGGCTTTATAATTTTCGAGTTGAAAAAGGCTAGAGATTTATTTTCCTTAGCCTTTAGATCAAAACAAATTAAATAGGGATAAAAAAGCAGTCCATTTCCCTATAAATTAAAGTCGACTTGAAAGAAAATAATAATAATAATAATAATAGAATAAGGGGCGATGACGCTATGATGGATTGAATGAAGCAGAAAAGGTGAAGGAGTGAAGGAGTAAAGGAGTGAAGGAGATGGAGAGCAAAGAGAGGATGAGGAGGAAAGGAAGCAAAGCAAGACTATAACTTTTTAGTGTATTGAATAGTACAAAAGGCTGTCTTGTATGAACAAATAAATCATGTAAATGGATACAGGTGGTGATACGGTCATCCACGGGTGGACCAACATTTTCAGCTTATTGCCACCCTACCCTACTCGCTAAAGTGTAACCTATTCACCCCTACAGGAGAGCTGCTGGAGCCTGGAGCTGGGGCGGTGAATGGTGATGGGTGGCCTAAATGGGAGGGAACAGAAACCAGAGTTGACTGATTCACGTGTTGTGTTGTCATTAACAACAACAGGACCAGGCTTTTCACCTCCAAGCTTCAAGCTTGAGCCACCCTGCTGGTATTTACGTTTTTAATTGCAATTTTTCTTTTTCCCTACGCTTCTTATTTGCAGCATTCAGTGTTGCATGTCGTAATTAGTGAGTCAACCAAACAGCACAGATGACAGAAAAAAAATGTTGCAGAGACCGCCCTGATCAGAATTCAGATACAAGAGAAGAGACAAACAGAGATAGCAGTACCAGTGAGCTGCGTAGGTTAACGCCTTAAGAACAGAACATCAGTAGAAGTTTTTGTTGAGTTACTTGTTTCTTCTTATTCTTCTTCCACTATTCTGAATTCCTCAGATGAAAGCGATCCAGAGTGAGGTTGCTTTGACCGTTGATCGAAGAGGACACAATGAAAAATAAACTGCTAATTAACTCCGAAGTTGGCATATTTTGGCTGCTAACTCAAAAACTCTTCCTACAACCCTACCCACATGCCACGTACTACTCCATCCGCACATCTGAAAGTTTCCGAGAGATGTCCCAAATGTGTGGCTGTAGGGCCACGTGGGTAGGAGGTCGAGTTTGGTTGTGTACGTACCATTATCATTTTTACTTTGCAATGTTAATACTTCAAGTTTTTTTTGGTGAAAAATACTTTGAGTTTATTTATACAACTTTTGCTACCATAGCTGCTGCTTGAGGAATTTGATCCTTTCCTCTATAAATGCCAACTCTCATCCCATCAGTATATTTTTTTAGTGGAAGCGAATATTTTATGTGATTTGACAACACAATTTCTCTAAAACATTGTATTGATAAACCCAAATTGTTAAGTAGAAACGGAAATTGTACCAAGCACAATTAAGTTAAAATGCATTAAATTCTTCTATTTTATATATACATTATATTGGAAGCATGTTGGAAGTGCTTTATTGGGAGTAGATTTGGGCTTATATTTATAAATGTGAATCGATATAAAAYTTTATTATCGGTAACTCTATACCTAATTCAATTTTTCAGCTGTTTGTTTCAGATGTCATCTTAAGTGAATGTAAATGATACATCAGTATTATCAATATACATTTACGTGGTTTCTTATTTTAAAAATCTCCAATGGTCCAGAAAATTTTAAACCTATGAACTTTTACATAAAAAAAAATTTTTATTGACTTACAATGGATTTTCCACCAAATTCAAACACAACCTTAAGGTCAAACCCTTGCATGTGACTATCATGTATGTTCCACACATGCCCTATATGGGTTGGATGATGATTTATGGTTATCATTTTGAAAATCCAAATCATTGGTTAATTTCGTAATCATTAGGATATTAATTCATTGCTATGGGAAATCACTTCAACAGCCTTGATCTTTGTGTTAATTTGGTGCGTTATTTGCATTAATCAATCCTATATCTGTTGATTTGATTTCTTATTTGGATGGGTTAATCTAGTTGAAATCTAAGTAAATAACTTGAACGGATGAAATCAATTGACAAATCATAAAAGACTATTTTGATGGTCTAGATCTTTGGTTTATTTTATGCATAACTTTATTTGATATAGATTTTTTTAAAATGGTGATTCAATACATTGTTTTTGGACAGTCGAATTATTCACAATTTTAGTACATCACATAAATGGTTGAGATTAGTTCATTGACCAAAAGAGACTACTTTAATCTTCCAAATTGTAGGTATTCATGACTAGACATCTCTCTTTTAGTCATAATATATGGGTATAAAATGGAAAAAAAAGGATCAAAATGGTTTTCTAAAAGAGACGAAGGCATTTTTAGATTTTAGGAGTGTACAACAATGCACTTAATATTCACAATGTTAAACTCCTTTTAATGAAACTAATAAGTGTATACGTGCTTTGTACGTGGTAATTTTACATGGTGATAATTATAATTATAATAATAATAATAATATACAAATTTCTATAAATTTGATGTTTTTATTTTTTATATTGTTTTTTGTTTTTATTATTAATTAGATGCAAGGTGCAAAATTCAAATCTGATTATATAAATACCTCATCCAAATATATGATAATCAAATTGAATTATGAAGCTTGAAGTACTACTTTTCACCTCATCCAACTTTTGATTCATTTATAAAAAAAAAATGTAAGATTTAAATAGAGGGAATTGAATAAGGTGAAAAATAGTAGTTCAATTGACAATTAAAACCGTACAACTAAACAAGGACTAAATTCAAAAATGGGTATTCTAGTCACTGTTTTAAAAATCRGACCAAACCGGAATGTTGAACCACTTGGCCCAGGAATCGACCAAGTCATTGGTTCTATTTTGGCCCTAAATCACTATTTAAAAAAAAAAAAACATTGAAATGGTTAAAGAATTGTTGGCCCAGACTGTTTAACCGTTAAAATGTTCAACCCAATTAATAGTCAAAATTAGCTATGGTTTTAGTTTTTACATTTTTTTATTTTGAGTTTTCACATTTCTGTAATTCTTTTTAAGTTATAATAGCAAAAAAAAATTGTAACTTCAATGAAAAAATCGAAAAATTGATGCAAGAGATGAGAGATTAAACACCAATCTCATATTAAAATCTGAGATACACCAATGAAGCAAACAATCTAGGATTTGAGAGGGATTTAGAGAGATATAAGAAGAGGCCAAACGGTGTTGTAGTGGCAATGATGATGAACATGGAGATAGCAATCGTTGGTTATGCAACAACGATCAGTGAACATGGTGACAACCACCTCCTGCGATGTGATCCACTCAAACTGGATAGTCGAGCCACTGACCCAGAAACTGGAGGCCGAAGTGGTTTCAATTCTGTCAGTTTTTTAAAACTTGATTTTAGTCAAAAGAAAGCTCTACAATCTTATTCTTATTTTTAATTGTAGTGTAAATATAAAATTATAGATATGTTCAATTTTTTTTGTGTGTGTAAAAATAATTATGATATGCCACTCTTACTTTTTGTATAATATGATAAATACATGACATTATACATGTGCTTGAATGTTTTTTTTTTTTGCAAAATTTAAGTTTTTTTTTCATTTTTGTATTTTTATTTTATTAATTTTTATTATTTATTTATGACATTAAAGGTTAACACATTTAACCCAAAAGTTGAACTATTTATTATTAATTTTTATATTTCATTTTTGGTCAGTTCTAAATTATGTATTTCATTTTCATTATCAATAAAAATAATTATTATTTATTATACTTATTTTTTTAATTTGATTAATAAAAATACTATAAATGTGTCTAATTTTTTCTACACTTTTTTGTAAATTTTTATGTTTATATCCATTTTAAATTTTTTATTACTTAAGTATGACTTTATAGGTTGATCAATTTGATTCAAATGGTTGAATTGTTTAGCCACCACTTGGATAAAGAATGATTTTGTTTTTTAGTCACTTTTAAAATATAGGGTTTATATTGTTAAAAATATTGTCATAGATCTAATTAGTAGCATTTATTAGTGAAAAATAACTTAAACATATATGATTTAATAAGAGAAAATGAGATTTAATACCTTAAGTATAAGATTTAATGAAAGAGTATTAAATAAGGTGGAAAGTAATAATTGAAATTACATTTTCAACCCTTACAATTAGAGATGGATTAAATATAAAAATATGACCATTATAATAGCCATTAAAACTGACATTAAAATTATAATAAAATAATTTTTATGCTCTTCTTCAAACGAAAAAATAAAAGATAATTTTAGCCTAAAAAATCACAATGCATCCATACTTTTATATATAATATAAATATAAATGATAAAAAAAAAAAAAAAAAAACATCATGATAGAAAAGTACAAGAGGGTTAGTGCAGCAAAACGATACAGGAGGCTAAGTGTCACACAGCCTGAGGTAAAGGGGGCTTTATTCATCCAAGAGAGCACATATTCACTCCTACCGTGGTCAGACGATTATGCATTATTTGATAATCTAAAAATCCCCTACCTTTTCAAATGAATAGAGAAATTTCAAAGATATTTAAAAATAGATAGAAATTGACAACAAGACTTCCTATATTCACTTCTCTTTCAGGTGAACCCATAGAAAATTTAGGTTATTATCATAAATCCAGTTCACTAAGTTGCATATGAACCCCACTCAATAAAAAGAAAAGAATATTAACAAAATTTTACTGTTCCTATCTGACCARTGACCGCCATCAGGAGACCAGCCGTCCTGCTGAAACCCTTTTCCCTGCCAGAAAATTACAAACGAAAACTGTGACTCATATTGGGCCTCTTTATTTACAACAAAAGCACTAGAAAAAGGTTGATGGATTGTTTTGTTGTTATTGTTACGACACGACACAATATCAGCTGGATCGCTTAACAAATGGATTATTGTTGATCGATTCTCAGGATTTTCGCCGTTTGGACTAGATTTGAGATTCCCTGATAAAAACCATCCAACGGTTCAGAATTCAGAAAGGTGTAAAAGGGCATTTGCACGAGTCCGAGTAATGTTCCACAAGAAGTCTGCCCATGGTATCATGCAGGGGAGATGTTCCCAATTCACCGGGTAATGTATTATGGGTAGGCGTGGGCAGAATTCTAGTGGGCAAAAGATCCGAGTCCATTTGCACAGGTAGTCGGTTGTCATGTGGGACCACTACTGCCACTGACATACACGTGGCCCAATTAACTAGCGCGTAGATTACTTGCTAATCTTGACTCAGAAGATATTTATGTCGTACCTTACAACTTTACGAGTGGAAAGGTAAACAAGTTGGACATTGCGCTATACCATCTTGCAATGCCCTTTCTGTATGTGTAAAATATCCAACTTTTGGGCTCGAGTAGGCCCATGCACAAAACCCTTACTAGCTGAAAGCCTCTGAAACTGAGCTCAATTCAGGCTACCAATTCAAAAAGGATCACAAGGCCAATATGGCACATTGACATCCATATATAAACTATAATTTCTATAAAGATGTCAAAAGGACCAGGTTGATCCAATGGAGGGTCTTGGGCTCGGATGCATTACTATTTACTGCATTGTACAAACGTTTAAACGTGGGCTTAGCTCTTTCTGTGCTACCTATTGGAGGGCCCATATAAGGCCTTGTCACAGGACACAGGCTGCATCCTCTTTCCGGACCACCGGTCAGCATTTACAACTGTTTCTAGAAAACACAACTCGGCCTAACCCAGCCCATAAATATCCTCAACAATTGTTATCATGAACAGGACTTTCTAAGGCGGTGGTTAGGGTTGGTGTTTATCTCGTGGACGGGACCATTTCGGTCTAGTCTACGGAATGAACAACGGTTTAGCTAGTTGTAGATGGGCCCAGTCCACGCTATATCATGGACTGGTCCTGTCCACACCGCAATTTAGCGGCAACGGCAAAATATCGTGATTAGGGCCCATCCATAATCTATTCTTTGATCCCCTGCTTCACACTCTCTTTGAAACCCTATTCTGCTTCACATTTTACCATTGGAGGTCTCCATCGCCCGCTGAAAGCTCTCCACTGCTGCAACTCTCCTCCACCGGTCGACCACATTTTATCAACTGCTTAAATATTATTTTTTAATATTTTTGTCAATAAAATATTAATTATTTTACTTAATTTTTTAATGTTTTTATCAATAAAATAATATTTAAAATTTTAATTATTTTACTATTGTTTTTATAAAARTTAATATTAATTCATTGATGCCTTTTATAATTAACTGTATAGATCATTCATAAAATGTATATGAGATACATGGAATCAAAAAGTGTGGTGTARATTGGTCCACACCACGCCTACAAAACGCCCGTGGACACAGTTTGTCCACAGTTCAGAATAGCTATGAACTGTGGTGTGGTGTGGTGTGGATTGATCCCCGCTACAAGGTGTGGTATGGACCATTCCACACCCACCAATTTCTCATCCACACTAACACCCCCTAAATCAGCATAAACAAGTTCCTACATCAATGATGTTTAACGGAAAGTCTTGTTCTAAAACGAATTTCTCTGTTTTGGGCCTTCAGTTCCACTATAAGGAAGAAGATTAGCAGCATATTTCTTACACAAGGCCATACCCCCCCATACGTTTAAATTTAAATAAGCATTAGTACCCCCCCCCAAAAAAAAAACATTTGGGTCATTATTTATTTTATATTACATAAGGAGTAAAAACTTATTACCACTGAACAAGCCCTTCAGTGGAGTTCCGACCTCTAAATTCTTCATTTCAGTCATCAGTACCGATAATTTACCAAGCTTATGGTTCACAAATGATTCACCAAACTAACAAGAAGGCTATTTCGCCCCATTAATTGGGTTTGGTCCACAAATTTGTTGTCCGATCAAGACCTGAGCTTCTTCAACTAACCTCTTTATCACTTCACCTGCTGGTAAAATCTCCTTGATGAGGCCCACACCTTGACCAGCATACATGGCCATTCGTTCAATATCACCAATTGTTGTTACATTTGGAACAGTACCTGCAAGCAACCGGATCTCTTTTCCCTGAAGATAGAGACAAAACTCAATCAAAAGCAGGAAACAAAGTGATCTTGTATACTTATTTTCTTCTTCCCCTTCTTATATTACTTGGATTTTACAAAGAATAACACTCAAACTTGGACTTTACAAAGAATTGTCATCATCCACGCCTTATCCCAACTATATGGGGGCTTGACTTTAGAAAGAATATCACTCAAAAATTGCCTATATGCTATAGGCCAAGGACATTTTGATCCTGTGTCCTGCACTAAATCTTCCTGCTACGCAAAATCTGCCTAATTCAACACCATGGTTTTTTTCTTTATTTGGACATATGATGGAAATTATTCTTATAAGCATAAACTTATCATTCAGTAAGTATAACAGATTGTCATAGTTGATTGATATTATGGATTTTGAATTTATACTTCTGAATGTTAATAATGTATTTTTTGGGGGGTGATGTCTTAATTTTGGCAAAGAATACAGATTTTATCAATATGGACCTTCTTACTTGATGAAAAAAAAAGAGTTTGACAAAGTCCAAACAAAATGTAGTTCATTAAGTTATAGACAAATGATTTAATATGAAAAACTAAACTATATGGCTATACCATTGTGGTCGACAATGCTCTGCAAAAATTTTAATATTCATATAACACTGTAGACCAAGTAACATGGAGTTTGTAGTCTGTTCCAGGTCATGGTATGTAAAACAAAGCCTGCCGCACCAAATGGGAAGGAAAAGGTGATTATTGCATTAAAATTAAACTTCAATTGGATAAAACGCGACAAGGATTTTCATTTCCATATGAGTTATGGCATATTATTTGGTGATCCAAGTGGGTTAGTGGTTAGTTGTAATTCCTAAAAGACATAGCAGTGGATAGTTATCAACTTATGTCTGTTACAAACACAATGCTTTCAACTTTGTAATTGTATTGGCAGTAAATTAGTAATAAGCAAGAAAAAAATTGTTACAAGTTCAAAAGAGAGGAAGATTCTTACCATGTCATGTATTGTTGAATGACCAATAACTGGCTGGCTGACCTCATTCTCATCCTCAAGGAGGGGCCTCAAATTACTAAAGAAAGGTGTTTTCAGGACACGATGAGGCGCACCAGGCCATCTTGCACGGCCAAATACATTTGTATACTCAGTTTTGTCTAGTTCAACTAACATGTGTTTGTATGTTGGGTGAGCATAGCTTTCCTCTGTTGCCAGAAACCTGTATTTAAAGAGAAGTAGATATTTTCGGAGTGGCCATTTGAAGAGCAGATCAAGATTACATAATATGTTCTAAAGAACAGCCTACCAAAACCATCATATAATGGGTCTCAACTAGGACTCCTAGGGCATAACTGGACTAGATTGAGTACTACAATCATCCTTCCTATTCATCATTTCTCTCCAGAATGATCACCATATTATAATGTTGCATATAATAAACATGCTATTCCTTACATTACCACTATTTAGGTTTCTTCTAAATAAAATGTAATCTCACTAACCTAGTTCCAAGGCAAACACCCTGAGCACCAAGGGCCAAAGCAGCAACATAACCCCGTCCGTCCACAATACCTCCAGCAGCAATGACAGGTACACCTTGACTAGCTGCAATGTCAACTACTCTTGGCAACAGTGTTATTAATCCATCCTGAATAATGAGTAAAATAAACCCAAGGAAGATAACAATCTCAGTAACTCAAACTAGAAGATAGAAGAAAACAAAAGGAAAATCTAGTGAAGGTATTAACATGCTGCAGGAGAGATGATCAAGGACAAAAGTAATTTCTTCATCAACAAATGATGTTATTGATGATCAGGAACTGTTGATGGGAAGTCTTTGGAAGACACTGATGAGGATATCTGATAATTGGCCTCATCACTGACCCCATAAGTTCTACAACAGATTCAATGGGACTAAACTCAAAGAAACTGCATTTCCTTGGTTAACTTCAATTAAAACAGCCGAGTATATTATAGTTTGACAACAAAGAAAAAGTAAATAGGAACAAAGCCTCAAAAACTTCATGCTGATTGCTGAGGACCACAAGGCTAATAGGCTATGACAGATACCATCAAAGAAGCGCACTGTCCATTAATAAGATTAATTCACTAGATAGTTTATGCTTGATTCTTTTATTCCTTTAGGTATTACTTGACCCACAACCAGAAAGCCTCAAAGGTTTTCCATATTGACACTGCAGAAGTGAGGAAGCAGCCTTGCCTACTCAAGAGTTTAAATCATTTTTTTCTAATTTCAGAGTGAATACATTCAATTTATGATTAGGTATTACTTGATCCACAACCAGAAAGCCTCGAAGGTTTTCCATATTGACACTGCAGAAGTGAGGAAGCAGCCTTGCCTACTCAAGAGCTTAAATCATTTTTTTCTGATTTCAGAGTGAATACATTCAATTTATGATTCACAGATTTTACATAACTAATGGTAAAAGAAACAGATATAGAGACAAAAGTCACAATGACCCTTATAAAACCTGGTGGAGTGCTGATATACTTTAAAGTTCTTCCCTGCCTGGGTAAGCATAGGCATGGACTAAAGCTAAAGAAAAATAAGCTTTATGATGTCAATTCAGTTAGGCTCAGTTTGGAAGGAGTACAAATACAAATATGTATTGTGCAAATACATACAAAATACAAGGTTTTGCACTCTACATATTTGTATTTGTACTCCTTCCAAACTAAGCCTTAAGAAAACTTTCTTATGATTGTTTATTTGAATATGATCAGCAAGTGTCCTCAACCCAGAAGGATATGGTATAAACTTAAATGCATATGAAGTGGTACCTGACCAATGACATGTCCCCCTGCTTCATGTCCTTGGACAATAATTGCATCAACACCAGCACTAAGAGCTTTTTCAGCTTCTTCAAGGCTACCAACCTTTAATGCTAAGAGGAGCATAATTCAGATAGTGTATAAAATTATAGATCGGTTAGTCTATAAGAAAAAACCTTATTAGTTTTCTCAAATTGCATCAGCCAGTAGAAACTGTAGAGCATCAACCACTCACTTGGTGAATAACCTTAACCCCAGCCCGATGAGCTTCGAGTACAAGTTGCCTTGGAAATTCGCCCCAGTAAACCTGTAATACTGCAACCTTTTCATCTAGTATGGCCTTTATATTTTCCTCATGTGGAAATGCTAGAACAACACCAACCCCGAATGGTTTGTTCGTTAAGGACCTTGTCTTCCTTATAAGTTCCCTCAGGTAATCTGGTGACTCCTGGCACGAGTAAAAGAGAATATCAATATTCGTATGCTGAAATTGAATAGGAGTAGAAGTAAGCCAGATATATTCATCTCACAGTAGCTCTGGGTGTTAAGAAAAGTTCTGGGTGTAAACTGCATCTTAATGCTAAACAATGTTCAGAGGCATATTTTAAGACGGTAGAATAACCAGAGCTCTTTTTTTTTCACATATGGCTCAACAATTCAATGTCGGGGCAATAGTATCTTCCTGTAGAGGAAAACCGGTTTCTTGATTGGAGCTGTAAATGATTAAATGGTGAATATTGAGAACTTCATGTCCCCCCGTCTTTGGGGGATGGGGGATGGAAAGGGCCGCTGGACGATTGATAAGATTGAACTCAAAGAATCATCTAAAAGCAACTACGCACTAACAATTTTACCTTTTATTGAGGAGAGCCAAAAAGAAGATGTGTTTACAAAACTGAGATGGTTAATTCACCTAAAGACGGAAACGATACAAAAAGATAGAGATTTTATAGGCTGTGTATCCATGTTTGAATCATCCGAGATCCTTAAAGCATTAAAAGTTCAATTTAACTCTATTTTCAAAGTGAATACAAATGGAAGAAAGAGTGAAGACAAACGAACCCAATCGGGAGCTCTGAGTAATCCGACCCCACCCGCATTAGCAACGTTAGCTACAAGCTCCGGACCTGAAATATCTGGCCCCAACGGGGCCTGAACAATTCCGTATTCAAACCCCAGTATCCCTCTCCAACCCATCTCTCTCTGGATAGAACAAAGAGAAGCTTTATGCCTTTATCTTCAACGAAGGAAGTTCTTCTATCCTCAAAACTTGAAGGTCTTAATGCAGAGAGGGTTGCGTTTTAAGGTGAATAGTGAGCGCAACGCCTTGGCGATTTTGATGAATTCGCTTGAAGGAGTTCGGTGGAGCAGCAGGTGATTAGGCGATGTTGTTTGACATAACAAGAATCGTGTTTGGTGAACAAATGTTAACGTTGAATGAAAGATTCAAGTTGAAATTGAAGTTTGAAAGTCGATACGATATTCTGCATAACATGTTGTCTGACGGCTAACCCAACAAATTCCCCCTCCCCCCCCACCATCCACTGATCAGCCAAAAGTCTAAAAAGGTTATGCGAACCGAGCCACTCCGGGCCAATGCCACGATCTTTTGACGGCTCACTAGGTCGGCCCAAAATTTGTCTTATAGAATTAGAGACGGACAGGGCCACAGCCCACAGGGGTGGGTACGTACGTTCGAACCCAATGCAACAAGGATTGCGAAATCCAAATTTGACATGTGAAGTATAGATTTGAAGTCTGTTCATTTACATATCTGTTTTTGGGTAAAAATCATTTGTATACCCCCCCCCCCCCCCCCCAAAAAAAAGAAAAAAAGCAAAATAGAATATCCGATTTGAAACTCTACAAGCCGTAGTATAAAGCTAAATGTGACATAAGAAAAATACATTTTATATAGTTATATAATGGAAACGGATACTATCTGATTTGATCGGATTAATACTGGTCATGTTTCCAAATATAATGAGATTTTAAAGATATGATTATGATTAAATGAATACCTGAATTTTATTTATTTCTGATTTAAACAAGTTAGATTTGAATTAGAATAGATCTAATCCATTTTTCCAGCCCTAATATTTGGAACAATTGAATAAAATGAGAGAGAAATTTATACAACAAATGATTCAGAACTAAGTAGCTGGGAATTTGGAGCCAAGACTTTCATCCTTAGTCCTTACCATTAATTAATATTTACCTTTTGGTCTAGGAACTGTTATACCTTGAAAATACTACTAATTGTTACTTCAACCTTTTTCATTCAAGAAAAAAAATATGAAAATGTTTTCGGTGTTTGTTTAATTTAATGGGTATGTTGATACAAATTTCGTGTATTTCAATTAACAAAAAATATGGAGATAAATTATAAAAAATAAATTTATAATAGAAAAATACAAGGAATTTGAACTCTCTTTGATTTCTGCTCGATGACGTGAGTAACCTTTGATTAACAATCGAATTCGACGAAGACGAGCGTCGTTGACATGTTTCTCGTACTTCTTGAAGTGTTGATGTAAATTTCCTTAGTTTTGGTGCTTTGAGAGATTTAATGTAAATTTCTTCACTCCGGGTTTTGCGCTTGATCGACTRTGAATGATGCTTCTCTAAGAAGGGCCTTTTATGGTGGCTTGATCTTCTTGGRAGAGGTTGAATCCAAGTGTGTTTTAGAGAATGAAAAAGCTTTCCCCTTCTTTCTTCTCTCTTAATCTTGCAATTGCTGGAGGTTGTAGGAGCTTGTGGTTGCTTTCAATCTTCAGTGTTGGTGTGAGAGTTTTTTGCAATATGATTCTCCCAAAGGAAACTCTTTCTTCCTAGGCAAAGCTATTTATAACCAAGGATTAAGGCTCTCACCTCAGCCCACTTAACTAACCAATCCCATGTAAGTGGGGTGTTGGGTTATGATTAACTCCCATGCATGCACCATTATGTAAGAGTTAGTGGTCTTACCAAGAGGACCACCCTATTACAATAGGAGATGGGTCAGATTAGACTTAATACACTTGGATCCTTAGGCCACGAAGACATATTTATGTGGACTTGGGCCCATGGGGGCCCATATTTATTTGGCTTAAATATTCACATGTCTACAGGGTAAAATACAAAAACCTCCCATAAAGTTTTTGATAATCATAAAAACCTTCCATATAGTTTCACTTTAATAAAAACCTCTCCTAAACTTTTAAAGAATTCGACAAAAACCTCCCTTTTGTAACTAATCGAGACAAAAAAAAATAAAAATAAAACTATCAAAATTACAAGAGTGCTCCTGATTAATCAATTAGGGCATCATTAAAATATTTCAAAATACTAGAATTGCCCTTACTTCCCCTTCAAAACGAGGGAATGACAAGAAATCCTTCCCCCAATCTCCCCTCACTAGTTTTTGTCCTTGTTTCTTCTTTCTCCATCTCTCTTCTCTGTCCCCATTGCCCCTCCTCTCTTCCATCAAGCCAAAGCAATCGAAAGGCACCGTCATCTCCATCAATCCAGAGCAACCAAAAGGCACTGTCATCTTCTTCACAACGACAACGAACAAAGTTTTGGAAACTAGCAATGTCGACGTCCTCAAAGCTCTCTCTTTCTCTCTGCTCTTCTCTTCCCTCTCCTTTTTTTGTTTATTTCTCTCTCCCTCACTTTCTCTTCTTCCCCATCTTTTGTTTCTTCTTCTTCTTCTTTGTGTTTTCCCTTCCTTTCACTACAAGAAAAACGGTCAAATCCGGCGATTGGAGGACCGCCGCCTTTGACACTTAGGCCGCAGTCATGAGTCTGTCCCCTCAACCACTGCTAGCTTAGGTCAAGACCGCCGACTTAGACAGAAAAGACTACCGCCTTTAAGGACCGGTCCGACACGGTTCAACCATACCTAAGCCAATAGTATGTCACAACCATCGGCTTAGAGTTAATAAAGGTGGCGGTCATGACCGCCTCCTTAGCCCACTTTGGACTACCGCCTTAGGTCCGTCAATATGTTTATTCCGTTTTTAGGTGGCAATCAAAACCACCGCCTTAGACCTCTCTGAACCGCCACCTTAGAGCTCTTTTATGTCTAAGGCGGCGGATGCATGACCGCTGGCTTTGATTTTTTTATATTTTTTATTAATATCAATTTGATTTCAACATTTTTTGCACCTATTTAATACAAATCTCATGATAAATAATGCATAAAAATCAAAATAAATAAAAAAACATTTATTTAAATTAATAATTATTATCATATCCAAAAACAAATTGCTTAAATACAATATCCAATTAACATAAAAATAGTACAAAAAACAATATAAATGCAATTTAAAAGATGTATTTCCATTCGAATCACAAATTAATACATGTTACGTTCCGAAAGAATACAAATTAATACATAAAAAACATCATGGCATTATGCTTGTGTGGGCTCAAGAACAATAGTCAATGGAACACAAGAAACCAGAATGCCAGACGTCAGTGATAAAGCCTCTTGCATGCTTCCCAATTTCATGCATGCCTAGATTTCTGGAATTGAACCACTCCTTAAAGCATCAAGAACTCTTCCTTGTTGCTGCATCCACATATGATATGATGATTAGACTAAGGAATGAAACTCTCTTTATGAGGCTCAGGTCATGGCAATCATTCTGCAAGCACATATGATATGATGATTAGACTTTGAAGCAGAGAGAGAGAGAGAGAGAGAGAGAGATGCCAAAAGAACAATTTGGTTATTTTTTACAGTTATCTATAGGTATCATAGTCAAGAACAGCTTTACTAAGGAATGAAACTCTCTTTATGAGTATTTCTTAAGCTTATGATCCAGTTAATCACCATCTCTCAAATACAAGTTCCAACATATTAAACATCAGATCAAGCTCATGACCTTGTAAGACAGGAATTACTCTGTTGTCTATCAGATCCAAGCCCACAAGAATTGGGCCCTAAAATGGTGATCACCAATATTGATGGAACTTGGTTCTTGAACATATGCCCAAAAAATCCAATCCGGACTTGCTCTATTGAGATGGTTAACCTTCCTTATGTTTTGAGTAAAAAGACATGTTCCTGTTATGGACTTTGATGTGGAAATACATGGCTAGTGATTAAATTATACATAGTGTTTTACATGTTTTTGATACCAAAAGCAGAAAGGAATATACAAATTAATTCCTTCCACACACTTTATTTGTAGTGAACTAGTGATACCAAAAGCCTCTTCCATCTGGCTAAACTAAGATCTTCTTTGAGCATTTCTCAAACTAGAAAAAAATTAATCTTTTAATCTCTAGTATCACCATACCAGTGGGAAGCTGTAAATGATAGGGTGCAGGGATTATGTGAACTGGAAAAATGCATTCCAGTGCCAAGTATTATGTGAACAGGTAAGGCAGACCCTGCATAATGCATTGTATTCACTTGGCAATCTGTATTTACATGCTCTAAGGCTGCATTTGGCATTCCTGCATAAGGCCCGTTATTATTGAG